TTTTTACAGTATCTAGTTGTTGAAAAAAAATAAATTCTTTTTTGGTATATTTGAAGAGATAAAAACAAAATCATCAGAAAACAGCTACATTTCCAGTCTATATGCAGCTACATTTCCAGTCTATATGCCACGATATAAAATCATGAAATCGGCGTTGATATTTTGTGATACCAGTAACTTTTTCTGAGTAGAATCGATATTGCCGCTCCAGAACAACGGAGTACAGACTACGGAAAGCTCAGAATCTCCGCCCTAACAACACAGGGATGTTCTAGGTACGTACCATAGATTAAAGAATGTACGTGCCCTTTTTGTCACACGGTACAAAGACATAATTGGGGTATCCAGGGGATGTCCCGCAGTGGTTGTCCAGTGGACATCCGGCCCGGTACATCCATAGGTTATCCTATTCGTGTCCCTGGAATATCTGATATCTATTCACATCAGAGTCATTGACTTTCATCAAAATATTGAGTTGAAATTGTCTCAGAACTTCTCAAGAAATTACCATTTTTCGCAAACAGAAATCGTAAATGCATAATGCCCCTCATTTTCAAACATTCACGAATGATAATAATTATACCCAAATCCTAACAAAGTTGTATTTATTCAGGTTTCTGCAGTTTAGTCCTGTTTAAAAATCGATGTTTGGTACTTAAATCTTCAGAAGGCATATCAGCCAATGGGGTAAGGTGCGTGCCTGAAGCTAAACCCAGCAAACACAATTATGTAAAATTGACATAAGTGTTACATAACTGACAATACGTGTTATGTAACTATGTTATGTAAGACTTACATCACTGTTATGGCGAAATGTCCGCCACAAATACTACATGATTATTACGTAACAATTATGTCACTATTTTATATATATTTTATATAATTTCATTGCTATAAATAAGATGTTACGTATATAACAAATTGACATAAATATTACATAACATTCTCTAGATGTTATGTAAAATTTACATCCCTATTATGTAAAAATGTCAGCTACAAATATGACTCCATTTTAATATGATATTGATGAAACTACTTGACTAATATCCGAAATGAATATCGGAATTTCACGAATAACCTCTTCACTTCACTAACTCACTTCACAGGCATATGCACATATTGATAACTAAGTACAATCATCTCAGTAGGTGATCCAAACTCTACACTCCATAATATCTATACTGATATTACTGATGATGATATATGGTTATAGAAATGTGCATGAGAGTTGGAAGTGGGCTAGTGTGAAAAAGAAGTTATTTGGTCCCGGGTTCAAACCCTACTCGACCTACATTTTTTTCTTTCGTCGAAGGGATGTCCCTGGAATATCCTTGGGACCTCCTAGGGATATCCTTTCTTCGTACTTGGTACATCCCAGGGACGTACCAGACGGAAATCCCTTGGATGCTTTTTTTGTCAGCCAGCTGATTTCTCTGGGACGTCCCTAGTATGTACTCTGTCCCGACAAAGGATATATCTCTGGGATGTCCTTGCATAAAATCAGGGACGTTCCTGGGAAGTCCTTAGGATGTACTTGTGTTGTTAGGGCGACAAACGACGGCTTGGCAGCCCTATCGCCGACAAACGCACCGAGTCGGCCGCCCCACAAAAGTCAAAGGAAATTATTGGCACTCCAAGTTTCAGCAATACATATGTCGGATCATATACCAGTATAAAATACTTTGGATTGATAGCGGTATAGAATTGTCACGCAATATGTTCCGCGTTTTTCATGTGATGAATATCAGTAATTTCAATAATAAGAATTTCAAAAATTGTACATAGCTCTGACAAGAAAATGATTTGCGACAGTGAATTATAGTTTGATTTAGTTATTCGACATAATGAAATATGAAATTCCCCTCAAACAGACCCATTTAGATTCAGTTCTAGGGTAAAATACACTAAGGTGACAGCACTGGTCCGGGTTCGTGAATTTCAATCAAATTTATGAGCAGCTTATATATTGATATCCGCTGACCAGTTTATTCCACAATCGCCAAAAATGGAAGCATTTATTGTTAAGACATTAAATTTTGTGATTCACTCCAATTCGATTTCTACAAACTTTTTTCATGATCTCACGTCCGTGATGCGCTCGTTAAAAGCACATCCAGTACAACTATTACTAACAAATTCGAATTTACCGCCATATTAGTTAGAATCGTACTGATTGATGGTGGATTCGATACAAGCGTTCTGGATTATGGATTGTTTAATTGTTCCAAGTCGCACGCCATCTGCATTCCAATAGATTCTCTTCGTAAGTGGCACACCTGCCAGTCAAATTACGAAGTATTGCTCCGACATCGTTCGACACTATCGCCGCCACTATGTGAGATTTCGAACTATGGTACGCCATCTAGTTGTGAGATTTTTTTGGACCTCGTTTTGCCCCATAAGGTTGGGCATCTTCCCAGCGTAAGCGTAATATATCAATCAACGCTTCCATCTTATAGCTTCTCTCTCTTTCTCTCTCTCTCTCTCTCTCTCTCTCTCTCTCTCTCTCTCTCTCTCTCTCTCTCTCTCTCTCTCTGAGATTTATGACCAGTAAAATCCAGGTCTAATAGTTCCAAGTTTTTTCATTCCTACAGCTGTGAAAATAAAAATGTTCCAAGTTTCTTTTGTGTCTTGCTAATGTAATGTTTTATCATTATATTCCCATTTTCAACGAAGTTTAACGAAAAATATCGTTCAATACACGTCTAGAAATGATTTTTCCGTGCTTGCATGACTTCCCGCATAGATGCTTCCCGTGTTCGGTTTCGCCTCACACGAGAATTTGTCACACGCTCACGGAAAAATCTCTATTTCCAGACTCGTATTGAAATATACTATATCATCATAGATCTTCTAGTCATGAGATCTAGTTCTTTCCATACGTTTCTGTGCTCTGAGAGTTGTGATTTGAACGTTTTTAGAGTCGTCGGCTCATGTCACTCATTGCTTGCGAGGGCAGAATGATAAGAGCTTTAGAGCACGCCAGGGTGACTCTCAGCATGGAAGTAGAGAGTTCGCCTACTGTGCTGCATGTTTATTCGGAGGAGGATACCAAAGCAGTGTTGTTCGGAACCAACGATGGACGAGTGGGTGTTCTTGATGTTGAAAAGTGAGTAGGTACAGGGTGCGCCTCTTAAAATGGAACTCCCACTTAACTCTTTTGTTCTCAGAGATGTGGAAAAATTTTTAATTGAAAAGTTCTTTCATTTCGTTAAGTTGCTTCATATACAGGGTCATTGATTTTTTCAATGAAACATCCTATATATTTTCTGACATGTTGATAGAGACTTTCTTTCTGATCTCAAAAATGAATATGAGTTGCATATTCGGATGAAAAATAATTGAGTTAATGATTATCAAACTTCACCAAGAGACCGAATCTTCCATTGAAACTGTCTATTCTTTATTTTTGTATTGAGATTGAACGATTCCAATTCCATAATGAACAATACTATCACATTATTATGGAGCTTGAACAATATATAAACGTTATTTCAAAGCCCACTATATTCAACTTACATTAGATGATAATATGAAGTGAAGGTTCATAATGCGGCATTTTGGTAAATTTTGATTAATAGCTCAACTATTTTTCATCCAAATATGCAACTCATATATATTTTTGAAATCAGAGAAGAATGCTCTATCGACATGTCGTAAATAATAAAGGGGTGTTCCATTCTGAAAAAACGAATGACCCTGTATATAAAACAACTTCACGCAATGAAAGTTTGGATCGTTTGACACAACTTTTTGGAAACGATACATGGTGATTCATTACTGATTGGAAATATTCCAACTATAGAATGCTGGAGTCAAATTATGATGATTCAACCCAAATCACCTTGATGAAATGTGTCTCCCGTCTGAGTTTTACATGGTGTTTCATTTGAATATTTAAAAATCATTTGCGCTCAGTACTTTGAAACTATTTGACGTATTATTGTCATATTTGGTGGAGTGTGAGTACTAAACTCCCCACTAATTTATGTTAATTGAACGTTTCTGGCTTCTACCAGAGGCGTACGACAGGGGCGAGTGACTGGTTTTGATCACTCCCAAATTCTACGCCACTGGCAAAATTGCAATTCTATCACAATTGTTCGATTCTGTAACACTCATACGAGTGGAAAATTAGTATTCCGTGCGAGTTATACACTTTACTTTTACTACGGCTGTAACAGATACTACCGAAACTTTTTTATTTCTTCGGCTTGTAGCCATCTAACTTCCTCCGAAGTACCTATTGCTCTGATATAATGGCCAGGAATGTGATTGAAGACATATATATTGTTAATGCCTCATCAATTTATCGAAAACAGTAGAACAAGAGCAATTTTGTGTTATATCCGTAGATAAACTCAATTTTTCAATCACGATGGGATTCATGAATGGAATATTTTCTTCCTACTTTTATAAAAATATTTCTACATGAATAATGAGTTTGATGGTTCCATGAATCGTATGAAAAACATTGTCATTGTCATTATTGGAAACCTTTTTTATGCTGTTCAAAAGTTTTTGATAAGATGCTTCTCAAATGTCTTCTTACATACATTTTTGAATTAAATATATTTTGTTAACCAATATTCAAAATGTGGAGATCTGTAATATTAGTATCATTATTCTCGAGACATTTTTCACTATGTGTTTCTCAATGTTTCCATGTTCATATTGTATATTTCATTTATCATAATAATATCGATATATTATTATGTTGATACTTTGTCCTCGAGATTATTATTATCCTCTGCTAATAAAGAATATACTTATGTGTATAGATTTATCTATCTAAATCATGCATTGCGTATAATATTTGGTTATATTATAATACCTCAATTGCCTATGACAAGCTACTCATGTAGGAATCTCTTTCTGTCACACTATCGACCAGTCTAGAATCCGAAAAACTGATGACTTCCTAATCTCCGAACCCAAATTATAGTATTACCAGATGACCAATATAATTGAAGTGGGCTACAATACAATCTTTCAGTTCAAAAGGATTCCAAAGATGGCTCATAAAAAACGACCAGAACAGCAGTTCAATCAGTACGATGGATTCCTATGACCTCAATGGGAGTGGAATGAAACAGGTGATTATCGGAAGACAGGATGGAAACATCGAAGTCTATCAAGTGGACATGAATGACGAACATGAGGATAGTCGGTTGATTTTCACTTATGTGAGTATTCCTACTGTAGTCATCTAGAGTAGATAGAATCAATGTTATCGAGTTATCGACTGTTATCAGAATATATCAAACTATCCAAAAAGTAGATATTGAGAAATTGCTGGAATTAACTGAAACACAATCCCAATTTATATAATTGTTCATATTTCTGGGTTGTCTTCCTATTTCATGCACCATTCTTTTTCAGCAAGAGTCTACCTCATTTCTTGGTCGATATTGCAGTAAAAAAACCAACTGATCAAAAAAAGAGATCGTTTGCTTTAACTCAACAATCATCATTTTGGAGTCTCGAGCAAATATCTTTCAGACTTCACTTTTCAGTTGTCGGTTTTCTCTGCGAGTTCCTGGATAGTTATTCATTCGAACGTGACCTGAATCAGAAATTCAATTCTCGTGATGCGATTCCCGTGATGCAGCCCTTGCCAGAAGCATTCCTTGCGAATTATTGAGTAACTTGTATTGAATTTGACTCGTCTTCCTTAGTGGTCATTTATGCACATTTCTCGAAGAACTCGGCGCAAGAGTATATATGCGAATATCTTGAAAAAAAAACTGAGTCACGTACTTAAGCCTATCAATTAATGACCTAAAAGGTGTAGAGTGCGTGAGTTCGAGGAGTTTTGAGAGTCAACATAGAGGCCCGGATTAGCAGTTATTCACGCCATTGGTCAAAGTTCTAAATTAATTCCCCTTCCAGTAGGTCTACGGAGTGTGCATTTTTTTGGCATATACATTGCTTTTCTTTGATTTCGCTTCCCCCCTTTTTTATTTTTTCAACGGGTCTACTGAAGAAATTGAATCTTGGGTTAATGGAATTGATGCATGAATACTATATTTTGGATTGAAATTGACAGATGAAAATTTTTCAAGATGGCGACTGGGAGCCACCTGGAAAAAAGATTGAATAGATAGGGTGGCCTTGTGATATATCGTTTTGAAGCTTCTGATGAATACTCCACAAGACTAGAATATGAAGTCAATTTCTTCACCTACTACAAAATGGTGGAACATTCAATAATTTCTTGAATACATCAGTTCAGAAGATTTTCGAAATGTTTGCCTTGAAGTTCTTGACATTATTAGAACAGACTATCCGATATTTTTCGCCGACTACTTTCGAACACAGTTACCTCGATATTTGTAAAAAAAATTCTCAGTCATATATCTATAATATTGGAGCAAAAGCAGTTTCGTACACCTCTTACTTCAAATAGTCCCATAAAAAAACGCGTAGAGGTGTCAAATCTGGCGAGCGGGCTGGCCATTCGGTAGGATCTCGACGGACCATCCAACGACCTGAAAAAGTATTATCCAAATGTTTCTAACTTGTCTGGAGTAATGTGGCGGTGCTCCATCTTGTTGGATATACAAGGGTTGTGAAAGTTGTGAAGTATTCGTCAGTATTCGTCACAAGAACCCCCTTTCCATTAAATTTTTTTCCCAGATGGCGCTCAGTCGCCATCTTGAAATTTTCATCTCTCAATTTTACTTCAGAATATAATAAAATAAAATGAAATGATTTTTTTCAGTTGACCCGTTCAAAAAATAATGGTTAGGTTAGGTTATGTTCCATGTGAGTGAAGCGAATACCGCCCCTCCACTGCAACCCCAGATGAGTCTATTGTGGCTCACCACTAGAGGTTCATTGTGAAATTCACATCTTTTTACAAAGTCCATGGTTGAATTAGGTGGGATTTGTCTTAAATCGATAGGTTCTAAATTGGTGAAGCCAAATATGTCGAACCTTAGTCTCTCTGAGCAAGTGGATGAACATAATAATATGTGTTCATCCGTTTCGTCTTCCACACAGCAAAACCGACAGTCCGTTCATTGGTTCAGATATCCTTGTTCGGGCCCATCCTTCCCAGGTGGTATCTTAGACGACAGTGTCCCGTGAGCAGTCCTGTCAGAATTTGCAGGTTAGCCCTGCTCCATTCTAGGATCTGCCTAGTTATATTTTTCGATAGTTTAGGCAGAAACGCCTTTAATTCAAACCAGTACGTGAGTCTTTTTTTGGCCCAGTCCGAGATAGTTGTTTTGGCCGCACTGACGGTGGTCCCAAAGTATGGTTCTGTTCCTATGAACACAGATTCGGTTCCCTATTTGTAGCGAGGATGTCGGTTTTATCGTTGTCCTCCACCCCCAGGTGTCCAGGCACCCACAGCAAAGTAAGTCTGTTTGTTGTTTGCACCCAGGCATTCTACGATTTCGATACAGTTCCATGCAAGCTTGGAATTCATTCTGCTGGAGCTCATTGCTTCAAGAGCAGCCTGACTGCCTGACACAATACTGATGTAATTGGTTACTAGAGGTCTATTCGTCAACTCTCTTCAAAAAATAAAAGGGCCCTCCGCATTACAGAAAAGCACTGTATAACTGCAAACCCCGTTTTTGAGCTTCTTTGGGGTTATTTGAGCTATTAACACATTTTCATTTTAAGTCCTCTTGAATAGATTTTTTTTCAAGAAAAATAAATCGTATTTCAATCAGGCAATAACTATGATTGAAATTACGGAATGTAAGCAGATAACAGATTTTAACGATTAACGAAAGAGAAAAACAAATTCAAAAAGATGACGGCAGTCTGCGGCAGTCACTTGATCGTCTTCGTCAGAGGTGTCGTCGGATTTCCACGTACCCTGCGCCTCCCGCAAACGTGCGCCCTAGGCCACAGTAGAGACCTCTCTACTGTGCCTATAGGCTATGGAATAGGTTGGCCAAATGGGTAATCCGGGCCTGTCAACATACTGAAAGTCCTGACCTCCAGGAGGTTAAGTGGCGTTCACAACCAAACTTTTTACGTTTTGCTTTTTACGTTTCGCATTCTGATTGGTGAAGCAAAATCTGGAATGAACATGACGCAAAAAGCTGAATATTTTCAGCTTTTTGCGTTGCAAGATGCCTCTATGTGTGAGAATGGCACGATGTAGGAAAATGGAAAAATAGACGAATACTCAATACTCAACCTATTTCCACACCATACTTTAATGATAGTCTCACCCAATATTCGCCTTTTTGGGATTGATTTTTCTCTTTGAAGAGCAATTTACGTCTCTGCCAGTACTCATGAATATTAATCGTTATTTAATTAATATTATTGTTGTGTTTATTTCACTTCATTTCATGGGGAAGCACAAGTGACAAAACCTAGGCAACTGAGAAAAATCGTAAAAACTCACGTTAACGTTTTTTTGTTGAGAATGACATTTGCTCCAGTTTAATTTCAGATTTCGCTTCACCAATCAGAATACGAAACGTAAAAAGCAAAACGTAAAAAGTTTGGTTGTGAACCCCGCTTTAGCCGGAGAAAACAGAGTATAGTAAGAAGGTTCCCATAACAAGTCAGATGAAATTGTTCAAACCTTTTTTCCATATATTTTAGAATTTTCAACTTTTTTCGAGCTGCACGCTCCGGAAAGTAGATATTTCTGAATACAAGAATATTATTATCTGACATTTTCATCAAACATTTCCTCATATTGTCAAAACTATATTGTTTCAGAGAGAAATTCTTCCAAAAAAGTTGTAGACAATTGGATTTTCTTCGGGGATATATGTACTGGGGTATCCATCGAAGGGAGGCTCACGTTATTTTCCATCGAACAGAAAAAAAATTGAAATGCGGAAGTTGATTTCCTGTTTTCCAAATTGTTTCAGGATTCTGTGAACATGTGTTTTCTGATTGCTCGAACTCCTACATCTCGAGACATCCTGCTGCTGAAAACCGAACGAGGAAAAATCAAAACAATGCCATTGTCCAACCAACACATGCTGTTTTCAAATTCACAACACACAACATATTCTGCAACGTTCAGGAGGAGCAGGGTGGACAAATTTCCTCACTAGGAATATCCCGGCAGCCAATCGCTCAAAGAAGTTACGCAAGGCGGTGCCGCGGGATATCTTTGAGACCTTTGTGTTGACTGGTTTCGTTAATACAGAGTAGCTTCTTTAGATTTCATCATTGCATGCACGAGTATACCAGTTGAACAGTTGTGGAGTTGTGGAGTTCCTATCTTTTTTTCCACCTCCTGCATTTATGAAGATTTCTCTTCCAATAAATGCGCATAATTCCGAAATAATGCTGTGTTATTCGATTCGTCTGCGTGCTCGATACTACTCGATACCTAAGCAGACCATTTTACGAGCTTTGGGAGCATATTTCCCAGTTTAGTAGCCCATTTGCACTTCCGACAATTTGTGCATAGTTCAATCTATCATGAATCACCTGTACACTATTTTTGAAATGTTTCACAGAATTGCAATGAGAGTGTGACTTCGCTTCAATGTGGTATCGTTGGATCTCATGGATTTGATGAAATAGTTGTTGGCACATATACTGGACGAATCTTCGGACTTACCACTCAAACTCTGGATGGAAATCTGGATAACTCGACGGGAAGCTATATCTCCACAGCTGATACATCTCAAAAGATATTCAAACTAAAGTAAGCAATCGCAATATTATTCACTGTCAATATATTCACAGGGTGATTGGTGGTAGGATCGTGATCATTACCGTCTAGCCATCGCACCAAAGTGAGGTAATATTGCTGCCTGGCTCGCTTCTCGGGGCGCAAGAAACTTACATCAGTAATAAAGTAGTGGAGATGACTTTGAGCTTTCCGTTTTCCTTTTGAATATTGAATATGGATATGAAATTATTGTGAAATGTTACATGAGAAATACCTCTTGGAAAATACGAAATTTATGGGGGTGTTATTTTATTACTTGTGACCTGCTACATATCCAGTTACCGAAAGAAGAAAGGAAGAAAGAAAGTATAATGAAAAAACAATTCGTTACTATGTATTCATTTACCAATACCTACTTAACAGGAACAGGGTGATTATTTGAAATTCTTTATGCCCATATATTTTCGCCATCAGAATGCAAAATGAAGAAGATATTTCATGCTAGCATAATACCTTATTCATTCAAATAGTCCATTCCATAATATAAACTAATCCATACGATGTTCAAGGAAGAATGTTGATTAATCAGGTATGGAGGCATCTGATAAATTAACATTTTTCCTTGAACATCTTATGGATTGGTTCAGATCTTGAACAATAATGTGAAAACTATTTGGTTATAAGGAATGATCCTGTTACAGTACCCACCTGACCACCCTGAATCAATATTTCTGATATTATTCCGTGTCGAGCTATACCTCATTGAAAAATGTCATCAATAGTTATTTTTATATCAATAGCGTGAAATAGGCTTTCATGGACGCCGAAGTCCATAATAGTTATTCATGTATCAAGGGCGTAAAGCAATGACTATAGATTTCGATAAACTAATATTCCCCCGAATTTAATTTGTTGCTTTGTTGATTTACATATAAAAATATCGTACGAATATTGCAATTATCGTAATAGTAAAACCCTTTGATCTTTAGAAGAGATTCATTCTTTAGAATTTTACAATATGCATACCCAGTATAGTATAAATACCTATCTAATTTTGACGTTGTCAAGCTAGCTGATGGTTGTTGTCTATAGCAAGTGATAGCAAGCAATACATCCAATAAACAAGCTGAATTGTCATTCTTTGACTAAAGAGTAAAAATTAGTGAATAATAGCGAGACTATGGAATCGGATAAAGAAGAAGTTTATGAAATACCGCTGGATATATTAGAATCAAGAAAAATGATCATAGGTTTTTCATGAATTGATATGTGGATATAAGATAACTGAGAACAACGGGCGGTAAAGTGCAATTTACGGCCCGTGGGCTATAATGAGCCCGCGGGTGGTAAAGTACAACTTAACGCCCGCAAAACCGGGCGATAAAGTGCACTTCACGGCCCGCTAGTGCATAAAAGCAAGTTATGCCCGAGCTACATACAATATTTCATGCACGGTCGGTATAATTATTTTTCATTGTGAATATAGGTTCTTACTTAGTGGAGGAATTTGCCTACAGAATATGGGGCGGGTGCCCACTTGATACAGCTAGTACAGTAGGTTGATAGATTTAATTTATATTCTTGATATTTCAGAGTGACATTGATATTTTTTTAAATTGACTTTTCTTAATTGCATAACTTTCATTACAGATGATGACAACATCACCAATTGTCTTTATGAAGGGTGAACAATATTATACATGAAATTATACACTTACCTCTGCATCTCTCAAGAACGATATAAATCATCATCTTTATGGCTGCAGTGAGGAATATCATTGATGGAATCACCGTTACCAATTGTGACGATTTTGAGAGTGTAATTGTGGTTATACTAAAGAAACGATCGAGGTCAAAATCATATATGTTCATCACACATATAATACAGTTTCACAACAAGAACTGTTTTTTGTGAATACCATCTATTAAATGACCACCACGTTTTACTAAACATCGTTGAAGTCGTGATTGAAAATTATCTGTAACTCTTAGCAGCATTTTCTGGTATATCACTCTGATTTCTTCAAAAATGTTTTCTTTTGAAACTGAAACGTTCGAGGCCTATTGTTGAAAACCCTAGCCTTCACATTTTCCCATGAGAAAAAATCAGGGCTGCTCATATCGGGATACAAGTCATGCGGGAAGCATTTAAACATTCCGGTATAGGATTCCGCACCTGCTCAAATTCTATTGGCGGATTTTGATTTGTCTGACCAATTAAAGGCGAAGTGCCGAAATCCGTACCAGAATGTTGTGCGGTGCTGAAAAGCAGGTCGGAATGTTGCCCTGCATTATGCGCGGTTTTTGTTTACATCCTCGCATTTACCTAACCTGCGTATTTTTTGATTATACCGTCGTTCCCACATGCTAACAACAAACCTGCAATCTTGTTATTATAGTTAAGTGCAATCATCAATTAGTGAAGTATACCATAAATCACTAATTATGGAAAGATTAATAAAAGTTTCAGAAATTTTGGCAATATGAAGAACGAAACAGAAGTTGTACAATGGATGAATGATTATGAAGCTCAGTCGTTTACATCATGGCGTTTCAAATCAGGACCTACAAATATTAAAAGATTATTGTACAGGTAACAATTTTATGTTTTTTAAATATTTTTTTATTTGCTCATGAAATGTATTCGAAGAAGACGAAGACGCAGTTTGGCAGGTAACGTGGCGATCCCATGGAATAGGACATAAACAGACATTAAGTGTTCTAATGATTGTTATTTCGAATTTATTATCTCATTTTATTACATATAATCATTCATTTTAAACTTTTATACCAAATAATCATCATGAATATAAATGAAAATTTCTAAAGTTATTGAAAAATGCGTTCATTACACATTATCTCGAGCTTTCATTTCATCAACATTCCGACCTGTGTTTCAGCACCGCTCAACATTCTGGTACGAATTTTGGCACTCCGCCTTCAATTGGTCAGATAAATCAAAATCGGCCAATAGAATTTAAGCAGGTGCCGGATCCTATACCGGAATGTTTAAATGCGTCCGGGAAACATTCTTATTAGATGAGTCATGTGCATCCAGTATGGCTTGTTGCTCCATCTATTCCTCTATAACATGTTAATTCTTCCCGATTTCGCCTGTTTCGCTTGAATTTCATTCTCTGACAAAATTCGTTAAGAATGCAATAAAATGTACTAAAATTGCAATATTTTCAAGCGTGTGAGTAAATGGTCAGGATGCTTTCAACCGACTAGTAGAGTCCGACCACGATAACTTTGGGACAGCACGTGGTCGCGTATTCATTGAATATGCATATGCGTTGCGTCACATGCTGTCCCAAAGTTAACGTGGTCGGACTTTTCTACAACGACGCGGAAAATTTGTGTCAAGCCATTTGTTAAGCCCCATCCAGTTGTATCTGAAATGTTTTTTAATATCATTATAGAAATTGAAAAATAATATGGCATTCAACCTATCGAGAAAAATGTACGGCCGGCCCACACATGAATGTGACATGTGAATTATGATAACTTACCAGCATACATCGGGTAAATATGGCATGGCAGACCACAAAACATAATATAGTTTGTGCAATTCTTCATAGAAAAATAATAATTATTTATTATTGTTTCGCTGCAACGTTTATCCCGTGCTGCAACGCCTACCATTCGACTCTACTCGCGTCCAGCGGGCAGCTGACGGCATTATTACATCGCTTTGGTGCTATGGCTATGGATGCTAGTATCGTGACCTCACTATGTGAGTAGACGGTGATGCCCTAGCACATGATCTCACAATAAACTATCTAACAAATTAAGCCTTCCTAAAATAAATTATCCTTATCTTCAGAGTTCCTAGCATATACGACGTACCAACATATAAACTTGTATTTCATTTGAATCAGAGCTATCTCAAGAACTCGATACTAACGTTCAGTTGGTAACACTGCTTTGAGTGTTTTCGCTAACGTTGCCTCTGGCGTCTGGCGTTGTTACAGGAACAAATGATGGCGACCGGAGACAGGCGAATAATCCGCTAAAAATTCGTTTATTCCAGCATGTGAAAATTGGCAAATTAAAAATATATTTCAACAGCCACCACTATGCTACAATTTTTCACAAAAACAAAATAAGATATGCATACACCTACACAAAGTTATGAAATATTTTTTCATGTGAAACGAACCAACAGAAATATAGCACAGCAGTTCCTCTTGGTCATTTGGTATACGTTTATTTCATTGTAGGGCAGATATAGACGAATTGAAGACTAAAATTATCAAGGAACGTGAAAGGTATCAACAATCCACGACTTTTTCATGCGAAGTATCGGCAATTCCTTTATTGATGGTGAAGGACTCGGTAAGTAAGACAAAACAGAAATATTGAAGCAGCAGCTAATAGACTGTCTTCATTACCTCAAAATACATACTTCATAAATGGTATACATAATCTGATATTCATAACGATTCATTGAAAAATGACAGTTGAAACGAATTCTTACTTCTTGAGATGTGAGTACAACTTTTGAAGCCTGCGTAATCATCTTACATTTTATAAATTCGATCAAATATGAAGTTAAATGTTTCGAAATTGATATGTATTCCCTTTATTCCATTCAGCCATATTTCAATTATAACAATCGCTGCAACTTTGATTCAATTTATATTGAATGGGTGGTGAAGTTCATTTTAGATAGAAACACATCGACTTATAACTTGTCGATCGAGGTTCCAACAGCAATCGACAATATCTTACTGCAATGTGATACAGAAGTTGATCTGGTTGATGTGGACAAGAATTCTGCAGTCATCAGCTACAGCGACACTACAAAACAGGTACTCATATAAGCCACTCAGATAAAAACAGTCGTTGCTGATATCTGAATAAGTGGGTCGACAGCATCTCATTCGCTGCGATTTTGGAAAATTTGAAATACAGACAACATCTCGCTTCTAATTTCATCAGATGTTTTCCTTCTATATAGTTTTAGCCCAGTCTCTTAAATGATGTTTTTCTACAAACGTCAAAAAATGACAAGGTTCGCGCATTGATAACAAACTGCGAAGTGACACTTTTTTTCAGTTTCCTACGTTACCATGATACCTTGCACAAAACAATGCGCGAAGTAACACAGTGCGTGAAGTAATATGGGATATTTATATCTCAACTTCATGGTCCTTAATCGAGCAAACATCCACGAAATCATTTATTTCTGAATGTTCAACAATAACTTTGTTTTATCTCTTGGAGCGCACGAAAGGAAATTCCTATTATGTTCGTGGAACATCGTGCGTACCTAGGGAGAATAGGGGGAGACTTTTCAAACCAGTTCAACACAATTTTTTATATCAAGCTGAGCATATTTTTACTTTAGAACTATATTTTTCGACGTTTGTAGAAAAAATTTTTTTTGCAACTCGAGCGCGAAATACTTTGGTCATCTCGACTATTTTTTCAACTCGGCTACGCCTCGTTAAAAAAATCTGATCTCGATCACCAAAGTAGCATTTCACGCTCTAGATACAAAAATAACTATTATTTCACTTTTGCGAGGTTGATACATGGGCGAATAGTTGATGAACTTTATCAATTATATCGAGCAATTTTCATTTGTATTCAGAATGAAATTACAGCACCAGTAATTTGTTGAGTTGCCTATGCTGGATTTGTATGATATTTGAGTGAAAAAGATTTGAGATCCGCTTGTACCATTGTTTGTAGAATGGACATATTATATTCGAACACACCTCAAGCTTCTGCTCACGAAATCTGCGAAAAATGTTGACAATGGCATGAGGCTTCAAATATAGTCTGCCTTCCGACTAGTTTCTCCTCTCTCGGCCTCGCTTCTCTCGGTCTTCCGCTCTCTTCCTCAGCTCGTCCGCATGCTGCCGCGTCTCTTCCTCTCGCTTCCTCTCGCTCGTGTCCGCTCGCAGTCCATCGCGAAGCTCTCTGCCGCGGCTCGTCTCTCTCTTCCTCTCTCTTCCTCTCTCTTCCTCTCTCTTCCTCTCTCTTCCTCTCTCTTCCTCTCTCTTCCTCTCTCTTCCTCTCTCTTCCTCTCTCTTCCTCTCTCTTCCTCTCTCTTCCTCTCTCTTCCTCTCTCTTCCTCTCTCTTCCTCTCTCTTCCTCTCTCTTCCTCTCTCTTCCTCTCTCTTCCTCTCTCTTCCTCTCTCTTCCTCTCTCTTCCTCTCTCTTCCTCTCTCTTCCTCTCTCTTCCTCTCTCTTCCTCTCTCTTCCTCTCTCTTCCTCTCTCTTCCTCTCTCTTCCTCTCTCTTCCTCTCTCTTCCTCTCTCTTCCTCTCCCTTCCTCTCCCTTCCTCTCCCTTCCTCTCCCTTCCTCTCCCTTCCTCTCCCTTCCTCTCCCTTCCTCTCTCTTCCTCTCTTCCTCTCTTCCTCTCTTCCTCTCTTCCTCTCTTCCTCTCTTCCTCTCTTCCTCTCTTCCTCTCTTCCTCTCTTCCTCTCTTCCTCTCTTCCTCTCTTCCTCTCATCCTCTCTTCCTCTCTTCCTCTCTTCCTCTCTTCCTCTCATCCTCTCTTCCTCTCTTCCTCTCTTCCTCTCTTCCTCTCTTCCTCTCTTCCTCTCTTCCTCTCTTCCTCTCTTCCTCTCTTCCTCTCTTCCTCTCTTCCTCTCTTCCTCTCTTCCTCTCTTCCTCTCTTCCTCTCTTCCTCTCTTCCTCTCTTCCTCTCTTCCTCTCTTCCTCTCTTCCTCTCTTCCTCTCTTCCTCTCTTCCTCTCTTCCTCTCTTCCTCTCTTCCTCTCTTCCTCTCTTCCTCTCTTCCTCTCTTCCTCTCTTCCTCTCTTCCTCTCTTCCTCTCTTCCTCTCTTCCTCTCTTCCTCTCTTCCTCTCTTCCTCTCTTCCTCTCTTCCTCTCTTCCTCTCTTCCTCTCTTCCTCTCTTCCTCTCTTCCTCTCTTCCTCTCTTCCTCTCTTCCTCTCTTCCTCTCTTCCTCTCTTCCTCTCTTCCTCTCTTCCTCTCTTCCTCTCTTCCTCTCTTCCTCTCTTCCTCTCTTCCTCTCTTCCTCTCTTCCTCTCTTCCTCTCTTCCTCTCTTCCTCTCTTCCTCTCTTCCTCTCTTCCTCTCTTCCTCTCTTCCTCTCTTCCTCTCTTCCTCTCTTCGTCTCTTCCTCTCTTCCTCATTGATGATTTTCGATATTATTTCAGGATAGTCATCTCCTGGCCACCTATCGTTGTCAAATAAACACGAATAGCTTGAAAATGAAAATTGGTACAATTGAAGGTAAGAAAGGGACACTTCAAGCTTATGTAACGCCTCTAGTGCAACCAAAATGCAGCAGGGTTATGCGCTATGATATAAAAGCGTTATCACTGCATTATCGACTACATCAATTCGATAACAACAGGTAGGTACTTCTATATGTCTTACACAGCACCTATATCAGAAGTTTCGTTGCACTACAAACCTTTATATTATACTAGCTGAATTTGTAAATTTCGGAGAGTTCCATTTTTCAACGTCATATCCATTAGACATACATTTTTTTCGCAAAATTTCGATTTTGGGGGAAAACTTGGAATTTGTAGATACTATGATGAACGTGATTATGGTGGATAAAATCATGATTATTTATGGATGTTAGGTCTGGCTTACAGATAGATATCACCAATATATTTTTATTGATGATTATTATTTTACTATTCAGTAATTTTTTCGCACATTTTCAGTGATCATTCATTTTCAGCAAACAGTTCGAATAGGGTAGCTGAATAACTATATGAATAAAATCTCATTTTTCTGCAACCGACACAAGAGTCGCCCATTTTAACACCAAAATTAGCTCTTGAATTGACGTTACTATTACTGACAAGAACATAGGTATGTTGCTAGGCAACAATTTCAGTTCCTAGGAGCCAAAGTTCAACTTCAGCTCCTAGGATCTGAAACGGATGTACTTGGTGATCAAGAATAAACAAACTATGAAAATCATACATTCTCAAAGTGGCCCCACAATATTCATAAATGAAAGAAAAGACTCCAACTCGGTCGACCACACTTCATATCAAAAAAAAATTATATTAGAAAGTGACCGGTTTCGGCACAACGGCCATTATCAGACTAAATTAGACCTGTTAACTGTTATGGGTCAGGAAAACAAACAGTACCATTGAAATTAAATAACATAATAAGCTTCGTGATGAGTTGGATTCAGTACCATTCTTTGAAGCTTGCTGTTGTGTCGAAACCGGTCACTTTCTAATTTGAAAGTTTTTGATATGAAGAGTGGTCGATCGACTTGGAGTCTTGTTTTTCATTTATGAAGAATAAACAACATTGTTATGGTTGGTTATTTGGGTTGGGACGCGCATACCTGATTTGTCTAGAATTTCGGCAGATTTGGCATTTCATACCCATGCTGGAGATATAAATACACCATATTGAAGTTGGGTATTTTTGTTTCGATCTGAAAAGGCATCAATAATCACATAGGTACTTGCTTGATCTGTATTTCATTCGTTTTCGAAATCGGATTGATTAGATATCACGTTTTTGAATAATCCCAGCCAACAATACTTTTTTGTCTCCAACAGCGATATTGTTCACCTTCCTTCGATTACTGAGCCAAACACAGTGGAATATAAAGAGAAATGTATAATCGCTTATACTATTGTTGATATGCTTAGTAAACTAACATTTTCCACTTCTTTCTCCTATACCTGGCACTGGCGCAGTATTTGTTATTAGGGCTGACATCTGGTCTAAATCATGATGCAAATATAATATGGTGTACTACTCATGTATCTTTTCTGCGCATAACGTCATTGCGACTCGAACGAATTGATAATTACGAGCTCAGACTGCGAGCAATTATTTTACTCGTAGTGAAGAAGATGCATCGTTGCACACCATATTATAATTCCATCATGGTACAAATGAATTCATCGATTCAATACAATATACAAGTGGGCCACTTTGTGGTTATAATCATATTGAAACTACAATTCGAACATCCTTGAAAATTGAATAAACCTGATCTGTAAATGCAGGTGAATATCCTCACCACACGGAATATTTGTTGCATTACATACATATGGCACGCGGCATCCACGTTTCGGGTATAGTATTGGATTCGTGCCTGTATAGTATCTGATGATGCATGTCAACACAAATTGTAACGAATTAAAGTCATCTATATTCTGATGCAAATTAGTCTGAGGTTTTTACCTATATCATTATACTGTAGGTATATTATAATAATCTGTCAAGTAAGTACCATGGTGGTTACTTCATATATTAATTTCAGTTAATTCTTTCGGTTGCAAAAAAATAGCTTGTTTCATTTCGAAACAATTCACTATTATACGGTTAATTTTCCACATTCTATACCTTTTCAACTTCAATTTCGGAATTGGTAAGTTATATTTCGGAAAAAGTAATCTCGATTTCAGAATTGGTTAGTTCGATTTCAGGAATGGTGAACTCAATTTCAGAATCGGTGAGATGAATTTCAGAGAAAGTCCATTCAATTTCAGAAATGGTAAGTTGTATTTCAGAATTGACTTTTTCTGAAATTCATCTCTGTTGTAACCCTCACTATATTGATGATGTTCAGATTAGACAACCCATTGTGACATACTGTCAGAAATGAATAAAGTCATGTCCCTAAAGACTTCAATGTGTTAGTTCTATCCAGAAAGTACATTCCAATCTCAGTTCACAGAATCATTTCAGTTGGCGACGAGTGAAAAACATATAGCTTATAGAATAAGGTAAAGGCATTTTCAATAATTTCTCAAATGGACGCCGAACAGTTCAGACAATTCATGACTGTGATGCATGACCAGCAGCAATCGCTCATCAACGAGCTTGTGGCCCAGTTACGTCCCGAACAGCAGCCTGTGGCTGGTTCTCCTGTTAATTTTTCAAGTATCGCACCTTTCGAGAATTTTGATGCCCGTCGAGAGAAATTTTCCTGTTATCTTGATCGTTTCGAAAACTACTATACAATGAAAGGTGTCAGTGATAAATCAAAAATTGCTCAGCTACTGTGTGTTTCGATTGGGTCTACGCATTATAACAGTTTAGCAGCATTCCTTGGTCCCGAGAAACCAGTAAAACTCTTATCTTATGAAGATCTGGTGAAGGTTTTCAAACAAATGCTCATACCAAAGAAAAGTGTGGTTGTTTCCCAACATTATTTCCTGAATGTTTTTCAAAAAGAAAGACAGACGATTGCCGAATACGTTGCAGCTCTTCAACGTGATCTCGTTGAATGCGAATTTTCAGTCAAATGCGAATGTACCAAGTCAGTATCCATTGCCGATGTTTTCCTGAGAGCTCAGTTTATTCGTGGTTTGCGTGACGACTGGTTGAGAGAACAGGTTTTGCAATCAAATGTAACATCATTCGAAGAAATTTTGTCAAAAGCAACCGCTCTTGAAGCCTCGAAAATAGAGAGTAAGGAGCTGACTCAGCGTTCCAGTTCCAGCCATACGAATTTCAACATGTGTGACGTTAATAAAATCACAAATTCCGCACGACATCATTCCAGAAATCGTTCCAGTTGTCGTTCAAACTCCCGATCACATAGTCCAAGTATCCAAAATTCAAATTACCGACGACGTCAACCAGATTACAAGGCACTTGGAATCGAAAATCTTTGTATTCGATGTGGGAGAAACAATCATAAAATCAACGATTGTCGTGTCGATAGAAACAGAATATCATGTGACTCCTGCAAGAAAAATGGTCACGTTACCAAGGTTTGTATCACGACCTTGATGAATGGTTCTCGCAGAAGATCAGGTGTTTCCAGTTCCACTACAGTACATGCTGTTTCTGAAGATCAGCCAGATTCTGATTTTACGTACGGTCTCAACAAAATTGAAACAGTATTACAGCATTGTGAAATCGTTGACTTATTCGAAATGACTCCCGACTCTGATAAATATTTCATTTCTGTCTCACTGAATGGCAAATCACAGCGATTTGAAGTTGATTCCGGTGCAAAGTTTTCCTTATTGAATGAGGACGATTTCAATAATTTAAATCTGAATGTACCCATCAGAAATTCGAATATTGCATTCAGGTCTTATTCAGGTAATCTCATTCAATCCAGGGAAAAATATCAGTAAATGTTGTATACCGTGGAAAAGAAATTGAAGGTGAACTACACATCGTTCCAGCCGGACATGATGCTCTTCTTGGCCGACAATGGATTCGAGGGCTAGGTATTGAGCTTCAGCAGATTGACACTGAAATAGGAAACTCAGCTTTATTACACCAACTACAATCTGTCAATTCAATCGAAGATGTATTCAGTTATTTCGCATCCATATTTGAAGCAAAAATTGGATGTGTTCCAGGATTGAAAGTTACACTTCAACTCAGAGAAGGAGCCAAACCTGTCTTCACAAGAGAACGAAATGTCCCATATGCACTTCGAGAGCTTGTGGACAAGGAATTGGACTCCTTAGAAGCAGATGGTATCATATCATTAGTTCCTATGAGTGACTGGGGATCACCCTTAGTAGTCATTCCAAAAGCCGATGGAGGTGTTCGATTATGCGTCGATTACAAATGTGGTGTGAATGAATGATTAGTCCAGGCGAATCACCCAATTCGACGAATAGACGATGTGCTTAACAGCCTCCGTAATTCAAAGTATTTTTGTAAACTTGATCTCTTCAAAGCTTATTTACATTTGAAAGTTGATGATGAAAGCAGCGTCATTCAGACAATTTCAACTCACCGTGGCACTTATCGCATGAATCGTCTCAGTTTTGGAATCAAAACGGCTCCATCCGATTTCAATCGTATACTCTCAGGGATTCTCAAGGGTCTTCCAAAAACAGAATCGTATTTTGACGATATAATTGTACATGGATTGACAATTGAAGAATGCACAGAAAATCTCAAAGCATGCCTGCAAAAACTTATGGACTTCGATCTTCATGTCAACAAAAATAAATGCTCATTTTTCAAAGAGAAAATTGAATATCTAGGACACATCGTAGAATTCAATAAGATTTCCAAGTCTCCAGTGAAGATCCGCGCAATTCAAGACATGCCACGTCCATCTAATGCCGATGAAGTTAGAAGATTTCTAGGTCTTGTCACATATTACTCCCGATTTGTTCCTGATTTTTCAACACTTTCATACCCCCTTCGATGTTTACTAATGAAGAGAAAACGATGGTTATGGACGGCAGAATGCGAGTCAGCATTCCTGAAACTGAAGAGTGAACTTTGCAGCGATCGTGTTCTAATGCCGTTCGATCCCAGCCTTCCTCTCGTTTTGACCACAGATGCCAGTCCCACTGGAATAGCCGCTGTACTCAGTCATATTATCACCGATGAAGGAGAGAGGCCAATCGCGTATGCTTCGCGTTCGCTCACTGCCTC